CCAGATTGTGCCACTGCACTGCAGCCTGGGTGACGGAGTGAGACTCTCTCAGAAAAAAGTAATATCATATAAATGTTTGATTTATATTTCCCTGTTTCACCATACAGGGGCGTGAACTGTGCCTAATTTTATTCCCCACAGCATTCCCCAGCACCCACAGTAGCATCTACAAACTAATGCTTGTTGGAATAAAATGTGTCTATCACAGATAAAGAAATGCCCAGACATATGCAGACACACCAAGCACACACTCCACTGTTGCACACTTGGGTCTCCCCCAGCTCCCACACTCTCCCATCACATGTCCCAAGTCCATACCTGAGCAAACTCTAAGGTGACCCCCTCGCCAGCTGCCTGGCACCAGCTCTGCAGCTGCTCCTCAAAAGCCTAAGAGAAGGAAGATGAGCTGATCCCTCAGGCTTTCCAGAGGCCTCTAGGACAAGACTGAGGACCCAGGATCCTTCCTCCAAACCCAGGTGGAGGTGGCACCTTGAAGTCCACATCCGGTGCCACACGGAAGTCAAAGCTGGCGCTCATGGTGGCAGGTACCACGTTATAGGCCACGCCACCCTCTAGCTTAGTCAGGTTCACGGACGTCACAGCCCCCTCTTTCAGGTGGGGGTTTGACTGCAGCCTGTGGTGTGGGGACAGGGAAGCAGCAGCAACAGATACAAGAGGTGGCTCAGACTCTATCCTCTGTGGTACCGCCTCCCAGAGCCACCCCACCGCTTCCCAGACTGCCTCACCTCTGCCATTCCTTCTCCCGGAATGCCAGGATGGAGCTCACAACCTTGTGCTACGAGAATATGAGGTTAAATGGGACAGTGGTCTCAGGATAGAGCCTCCTGAACTCCTAGACTCCCTCCCGGGGTGCCACGTACCAGCTTCTCTGCTGCTGTGTCCTCGATGAAGAACGAGCCATGGCCTGGCCTCCCAGTGCTGGTGACCCGCACCCCTGGGGAGGTGTAGGGGGAAGGGAGTGTCTTCAGCATGAGGGGCTGGAGAAACAATCCGCCCTGGGGTGGACCCAGGTCTCCCCCTCATTCCAGGCTCCTCTGGCAGGGTCCTGTCCCCGCTCAGGGCCCATAGCGTAGAGCTTGTTTCTGCCCAGTCAGGGCTTGCCCTCAGAGAAGCTCAGATAGGAAAGAGCTGGGAGGCAGAGGCTCTGGGTTCGAGGCCTTCTCAGGCCTCAACTTTTGCTGTGCAACTCTTCATAGGACCGTGCCCTTTCTGGCCTAGCCTCCCACTTGTAGAGTGAGCCCTCCCTCCAAGCTCATACTTACACCAGGGACTCCGCTCACTATAAAAGACAGTGAAGGCATCAGTGGGGTTGGCTATGCCTGAGGAGGGAAAGGGGGTTCAGAGGGTGGAGCAGCCCAGTCCCCACTAGCAGCCTCCTACTCCCTGCCTGGCTGCTCATCAGCTTGCCAACCTGCTCACCCTCATCCAGGGCAAATCCTGCCCTCAGGGCGTGGAACTCAGGCCGCTGCACGAACAGCTCCATGCCTTGGTGACCCCCAACCTCCTCATCTGTAAAAGCAGCAGGGCCATGAGATGAGGAGGCTGTCCCACCCCCACCCTCCCCTTTCCCAGAGGTATCTGAACCACTCCTACCAGGCACAAAGGTCATGTGGATGGTTCTGGGGAACCGGTGGCCCTCCACCTTCAGCCTCCTCACAGCCTCCAGGTACCTGAGGGGGCATAAGCCAGGTGCTGTGGGAGCCACCAGATGCTCAGGCTGGCCCGGCAGGCAGGGCCAGCAGGCTGGAGTCCTGTGCCCTGGACTTTACCCTGCCACACCCTGATAGGGACTCCAGAAAGTCCATGCTCCTCTCTGGGCTGCATCTCCCTATCGACGCAATGGTCATGGAAGTAATTCCTGTCCAAGGGGTCAAGGTGTCCCTTGGCCTTAAGTTTCTCCAATCACCCCTCCAGGTCCTGGGTCAATCCACTAGACCAGTGGGGACATTGTGGAGGAGCGGGAATGGAGGACACTCACTGGATGCTGACGCACTTCATGTCTTGGGCACCCCTGCCATAGATGTAGCCCTCAGAATCCTTGAAGGCCTCAAAGGGGTCGTGACTCCAATGTTCCTGGGGGCAGGGATGGGAAGAGGGGCCCAAACCTCCAATTTAGCCATTAATCCACTCTGGTCAACAGTGGCCCTTCCCTAGGAGCCCACCATAGGGTTGGAGTGACAGGTGGAGTGGTGGGGGAGGAAAGACGGGGGCTGAAGAAGGCAGCTGATTGCCATCCCCCATCACTGTCTCCTGCTTCCCACCCCCTAGTCCCTACCCCACTCTGGCCCAGATCTTGTTGCTGGACGAAGGCTGCTTGAGTGGTGTAATGTCATAAGGATGTTGAAAGTCAGTGCCAGGACTGGGACCAGGACCATGCGCTCCCTGAGGCTGGATCCTGGGGTCTGCATCATGTCTGTCCCCAACGTCTGCAATGCCCACCGCCCCAGGCCCTTACATACCTTGAAGACAGGCACCACATCCGTGTGGGAGTTGAGCAAGATGGAGGAGAGTGCAGGGTTGGTGCCTGGCCAGGTCAACACGGTCACCACATAGCCAGGTGCCACCTGGAGATGGTCAGGAGGGGAGGTGGTCTGAGCAGGGTGAGGAAGTGCCCAGGCCCACCTCCCTTCCCTGCTTAGGGCCCCAGGCTCACCTCCACTTTCTGACAGCCCAGGCCCAGCTGGCGGGCTCTCTCCTCAAAGAAGGCCACAGCAGCTCCTGGAGGCACAGAGTGTCTGGGGCTGCTTCTGCCTACTCACAGCTTCCCACCAGCCCAGGCAGCCCGGAGAAGGGAGCACACCCAGAAATGGGCTGCTGCCTCCCCAACACGCTCCATATCCCTCAGAGACACTTGCATTTCCATCCCCAAGAAAGAAGATATTTTTGGCTATTCAGTGACCCTTTCTGGAAGGCCAGGGGGATGTCCAGTGTTGGAGGAAGGTATTATCTTCCTTAAATATGGGAAAGATGACATGAAGAGATTCACCCACCATGTCTCAGCTGATTAATCACAAAGGAGGAATTTGGGTCCACGTTCAGAATTCCCAGTCACCAAGTTTTTTTTTTTTTTCTTTCTTCCTTTTTTTTGGGGGGGGTGACAAGGTCTCACTCTGTCACCAAGGCTGGAGTGAAGCGGTGCGATCTCAGCTCACTGCAACCTCGACTTCCCAGGCTCAAGTGATCTTCCCACCTCAACCTCCGGAGTAGCTGGGACTACAGGTGCGCCACCGTTCCTGACTAATTTTTGTATTTTTCTGTAGAGACAGTGTCTTGCCATGTTGCCCAAGCCAGTCTTGAACTCCTGGGCCCAAGCAATCTGCCAGCCTCAACCTCCTGAAGCGCTGGGATGAAAGGCAGGAGCCACCTCCCAGGCCCTAACCACCAAGCTTGATTCCCTAAGGGCTGTGGCCTTTGTCCAGCCTCAGTGGGCTTCTGGAGGGCTTCTCCTTCCCCTGTGGCTGCCTGAGGATTCCCCCACCACTCCTGCCCTGGGGAGTGAGGTGAAGTTTTTCTTTCACCAGCTGCCATGAGTAACCTTGGGCAGCAGCAGAACGTCTGGGGAAAGGATTCCTCCATAACCTGGAGGGGCTGCCTCAGTCTATTTACTTGGGCAATGACTGGAGGGGTTGGGGAGCCATTTGGGACAGCAGAGGGGGGCTCAGCTGAGTGACAGGTGTTGGAGGCTGGTTTAGAGCACAGTCCCCGTCCGTTAGGCCCCGTCACAGGCTCTGGAACCACCGTCTTCTCACCATAGTCAGGCTTGGGCTGGACGGTGCGGATGCGCAGGTACTGGCGGAAGAGCGTCACTGATGGATGCTCCTCCTCGGGACCCTTGCTGGTCATGGCGCTGCGCGTGGTGAGCTGGGGGCAAAGTGAATGGCTAACTACCCCTCCCAGCCCCTGGACCCGGTGCGCTCCTGCACACAGCCCGTCCCTATGGCGGCTCCCGGATTTCCCACAGGGGTAGGATTTCCCATTAAGGAGCACCCATTCTGTTTCAACTTTGGGCTGTCTGCTTCCAGCACATTTCCTTATTTAATCCCCAAAAGAGCCCCATGAAGTTTGTGCTCAGAATGCCCACTTTACAGAGGAGAAAGCCGAGAGGCTCAGAGAGGTTCGAGGACAGCTCAGAGTAGCCCAGCGAGGTTTGAACCCAGACTTGTACTCCCCCATCCCTTAAACAACAACAGCAAAAAACCCAACGCCTCCCAATTGCCCAGCTTTCAAGCCAGGGAGCCCGTCTCTCTATCCCTCCCCAGGGACCCCACCTCACTCTCCTGTCGCTGAGTTCACGCTCGCCTCCCAGCGCCCGCCCCTGACTGTGGCCTGGACTTAGGGTACAGCGAGGTCGCCTGCGAGGTCGCAGGCTCAGGACCGCCCCCGTCCGCCCACCACGTGTCCGGGGCCGGATGTCGGGGCGGAGCCCAGAGACCGCCAGTGAGGGCAGTCCCAGCGCTTGCGGCCGCGTCGGCGCGGAAGTCCCCGCCCGCCTCTGGTTCGGGCCTCAGCGGGATTACTGGAGGCTTAGATCAGGATCCCGCCCCCGGGCAGCGGCCGCCGCAGCCAGCGCCGCCCCGTGAGCTGAGAGCTCCTGGCTGGCCCCGCCTTGACAGGCCCGCCCCGCCCCACACCACAGGCCTGCCACTCCTGCCCCCGGAGCTCAGGACGGTCCCGTCCCTTAAGGACGCCTCCTCCTTCAGCCCCCGGATAGGGCGGGAGGAAAAGGGTCCGCCCCGAGGCTCTGAAGATGCAGAGCTGCAAAGCCCTCGGCCTGCGCCCCTGCGCTCCTCGGCAACAGCTCCCCTGTGCAGGACCCTGTGCAGGCCTCGGCCCCTCTGGGAGGTCCTCCTAGCGCCTCAGCTCCACTTGTACTGAAAGTTATTGGTCATTATCTGTCTGCCCACACTGTGAGCTCCACTTCCTGCGAGGTTCTGCCCCTGGCCATGCCGACTCCGGACACTGTGCCAGAAATGGGAATAAACGCATGGACAAGAGCACGTGTGACGGTGTGAGCGTGCCACTGCGTGTGCAGTCTATCAGTGGGTATGACTGTGTATGGGACAGTGTGAGATGGTGGGTCGGTGTGATGATGTCACTGTGAGTGGATGCAGTTGTGACCCTGGATGACAGTGTGAGGAAACTGGCTCTTCTGCAGCCACCGGAGCGGGAGGCTAAACAGGCACAGGTGTACCACTGACCCCCTGCAGGCCACAGCTGCAGTTGCCCACTTGTGCCCCAGCTGCCCTTTGTACTCCCAGCCAGGTCTGCCCTCTGCTCCAGGGGCTGAGTCAGCTTGGGGAAGGGTGAGGGACAAAGACTTAAATCTCTAGGCCAAGGAGGCACGCTGTGGGGAGGGGTTCTGTCCCACCTTTCCTGAGGTTTAAGTCTTGGCTGCTCTCACATAACATGAGGGCAAATGGACTTTAACTCATAACAATGCTGGCTAATTCTTTATTTAGTTATTTTTTTGATACAGTCTCACTCTGTCATGTGGGCAACTAGATTTTAACTCATAACAATGCTGGCTAATTATTTATCTATTTATTCATGCGGGCAAATAGACTTTAACTCATAACAATGCTGGCTAATTATTTAGCTATTTATTTTTTTTGAGATGGAGTCTCACTCTGTTGCCCAGGCTGGAGTGCAGTGACTCGTTCTTGGCTCACTGCAAACTGCGCCTCCTGGGTTCAAGTGATTCTCCTGCCTCAGCCTCCAGAGTAGCTGGGACTACAGGTGCCTGCCACCACGCTGGGCTAATTTTTGTATTTTTAGTAGAGACACGGTTTGTCATGTTGGCCAGGGTGGTCTTGAACTCCCGACCTCAGGTGATCCACCTGCCTTGGCCTCCCAAGGTGTT